AAGTTACCTCTTCTGTACCTTCATGTAGGTTGGACGCATCAGCGTTATCGTCTTTTTGATCCAGCTGAACTAGAAAAAGAACCAATAAGAAAAAAAGCACAGATATGATTGAGTCTTTCGACTTTAGGATTTTACATTGTAGTTGTTACCTATGCATCCCAGTACCATGAACCTCGTGCTTTCAAGAAAGAATCAATATCAACAAAGGCAGCCAGGCTTATTAACCAACAGTTTACTTGAAAATGAAACGCCACTTCAAATCTATCTGTTGTTTTGTACTTATTCACATTTCGAATCCTTAACTCACATCCATGTACAATTTTTACGTACATCTGACAGCTTGTACGTTTCCTAAGGATCTTGTTACATTAATTCTCCTTACAATATCTATTTATTTTTCAATTTTGCTCCACTATTATTTTGTGTGGTGATCTGACGGATCACTAAAATACAGGCCTAATTATACTTGGATTCTCGTTTTCATAATGAGAGCAAGATAACGTGGTCACTAGAATTAACACCTGAAGATTCGAAACACTTTAGGAATCCAGCGCGTCAAACATAGAGTTTCAATACTGTTGTTTGCAGATTGTCAAGATCTGGAGAACAATGAGCACTGAGGCTGATCAACTTGATGTCCAAGCTGATTTTGACAAACTAGTTACGGGATCATGAAGTTAAGGATTGGGGATCTATTCTAGAATCAGTTCGCTTACAGACATTGAACAGAGCAATGGTCACCAGCATACTGTCAGTGATGCACCTATTTCATGCTTGCAGGAACAGAAAAACTGAACATAATGGTGAGCGATGAGTAGAAAACAACTGTAAGTTGTAGTACAACAGCTGAGAAGGGTTTCTTAATGTTATAATTTCGTCAAGCATTCAGATACCTTGATGGAGATGTGCTGCTATTTTCATACATCACATATTTGAGATCTCACTCACAATATTACAACTAATCAGCTAGTCCATATCTCATTTAGGATGCCAACATCTGCGAACGTACTAAGTGACGGGTTTTTCCAAACTCCTCTATGTGATGGTTAGAAGTATTTGAATTATTATGCTAAATGGGAATTCCAGAAATAACGCAATTTAAACCAAACACAAGGAGGTGGGCACAAAAGAACGTGATGCAGTTGGAATTCGGAATCAGATGGACATCAAGTACAAGGAATTCATTAATTCATACAGACACAACACCCCCCATCGAGATTGATAACCGAGGCCATCTCATTGGTAAATGCTGCGAAAAAGTGTTTTGGCAAGCGTGATCGGGACACATAGAACAGTACTCGCTCTGTCGACACGCAAATTTGTGTGAAGCAAATTCAGGTGAGTTCGAAAACAGGTGACTCACACCGACCAAAAGAGGGAAAAACAGTCTTCAAAGAGGTCTGTCTTGATCGAAAACTCAAGAAAAGAGGAATCTTCTGTCTCCCGTCTTTTAAATGGTATCCAGCAGGAAACACATAGTAGTCGCAATCGCAAGCCTCGATCGGTTTCTAACGGGAAACCTAACCTGACCTCCCAAATCGTCGACAACCCTCCGGAACCCCACAGTATGTTTGACGCAACTGTGGTTTCTTCTCATAGCAACGTTGACGAATGGGTACAGGTGTAAGGAAGAAACAACATAACAATATAAAAAGGGAATCCCGCCTCCATAAAAGTAGTCGAGAAATCGAAGGCTGATCACAGTGACGGATCAGTTATTTTTCGTAGAATCAAGGAGAGTGAAAGCTCTGAACCAAAAATTCGTTTTGAGCATGACATCGTGCTGATAAAACAGCTACTTGATCAACTCATGCCTCAAAATATACCCGGAGTCACCTTGCTGAAGGTGTACAAACTAGGTAGTCTAGCGAATTTGAAGCCTAATCAATCCAGACTGCTCAAAGTAGTATTCAAATCGTCAAATGAACGCGACTTAATTTTGCAGAATAGACATAAATCAAGGGGTTTAGGGGTTTTGATCCGTAAGGACTTGCCGTTGGCAGACCGCGTAAAAAAGACAGGAAGCCGGAAAAGAGCTGCAACTTAGGTTAGACACTGACGAAAAGGACGTAAAAATTGTAAATTTTCGGGTTGTAAGGCTTCGGCAGAGAATGATGCCGAAAGCACTGCTGCTGATTCGTTTGGTCTATCGCAGTCCAAGCTGTGAGATAACTGAGGTCCTACTAAGCAGTCTCAATACTTGGCCACAAAGCGGTCGATGTCTAATCCTAGGGGACTTTAATGCACTGATGGTAGACTGAATCGTCAGATAATTCCTTCGAGCAAGAACTAGTTGATGCGGTTATCACATGTGCCTTAGTACAACGTGTGAAAGAAGCGACTAGGTACGACCTGGACACTGAATCATCCTTACTAGATCTGATACTCACTATGTGGATGACGTTGCGAACCTCCATTACACGCCACTCTTAGGTAAAAAGTGATCACGCAGTTTTAACTTTCGACTTCCATATAACTGTCAATCACGAGCACGCGCAAGCTCAATCCAAACCTAACGTCTGGAAAGCAAACGTACCAGATATCATGCACTAAGCATCGTCAGTAGATTGGACAGTAGACCCAGAATCCTCAATTGAAACGGCTTGGGACGCACTTCGAAATTTATACTTAAATGTTACCGCACCCCACATCCCTTGGACTATACCAAGGGGGTCGAGAAACTCCCCACCATGGTTCAGTAGGGAGGTCCGCATCCTTCTTTATAAGAGACGAAAAATGTGGGCTACTAGAGACTGATGAGACAAAATCTCAGTATTGAAAAGCTCGGGATACCTGTACCTCGACCCTCCGTAAGTCTAGAAAGTTGTACGAAGAAAAGATTGTTAAGGAATCCATAGAATGTCCTAAACGCTAGTATTCCTATATAAACCAAAGAACAAAAAGAAGAGGAAACATTCCTGCATTATGGGTAGCCAGTACTGCCGCATCATTAGTGGAGGATGATTTCGGTAAGGCTCAAGTGTTCTCGAACTACTTTAGCAATGTGTACGCCATAGAAGCACCCTTTCCGTCAGCGCATACAAATCCCCCACACATACACTGAATAGCTTGACCATTAAAGAACTCGATGTCTTTGGTCTGTTAAATAAGCCTGACAAAGGTAAATCTACGGGGCCCAATGAATTGCATCCCAGGCTACTGAAGGAATTATCTAACTTCGTTGCGAAACCTTTAAGTATATGCTTTAATCTATCCGTAACGCAGGGTCGTTTACCAAAAGATTGGAAGAATGCCATAGTAAGTTCTGTTTTCAAAACAGGTGCGAAACATAAACCTGAGAATTAACGACCCGTTAGCCTAACTAGTGTGGTGGATAAAATCTTAGAAAAGATTATTTGGAAGGAGCTGTTTAAGTACCTCGGTGAAAACCGGATCCTTTCGGAGAAGCAGCACAGTTTCAGAATAGGTTATTCTTGTCTCACTAACTTATTAGTCGCTCGTGAAAGCTGATGCTCTATTAAGGCCAAAACCTTACCTGTAAACGTAACCCACATTGATTTCAGCAAAGCTTTCGACAAAGTCCCGCACAACCGGCTGTTATATAAGCTAAGAAATATCGGGGATGGAGGCAATCTATTGATGTAGATAAAAGACTTCCTAGTTGGGCGCCAACAAAGAGTACGGGTGAACTCAAAGTTGTCCAGCTGGGAACTGTCGTTAGTGGAGTGCCCCAGGGTACACTTTTGGGGCTAGTGCTATTCCTCATGTATGTAAATGACCTCCTTCGTCTCCTATCATCGGTCTTGCTATATGCTGACGATGTCAAGATATGGAAAACGATACGATGTAAGGGTGATAGCTTAGAACTTCAAAATGACCTGAAGAAATTATCTGAATGGTCTCAAACCTGGCAGTTGCCGATAAATACTTCCAAGTGTGTTGTGATGCATATCGGTCATCAAGGTACAGTTACATACACGATGAATAACACTGAGCTACCTGTCGTCCAGATACATAATGACTTAGGAGTCATCGTTAGCCAAGACTTAAAGACTACTGCAAACTGCCGTGCAATAGCCGCCAAAGGTTTTAGAACGTTATGGTCAATACGTAGGGCTTTTAGTCATGTCGACGCTAAAACATCCTTGACTTTGTACACATTGTTCGTACGTCCTAAACTTGAGTACTGCATACAAGCGGCTAGCCTTCGCTGAAAAAAGACAGTGAGCTTCTAGAAAAGGTTCAGATAACAGTAACTAAGCTGGTTCCTGGAATATGGAGGCTTACGTACGATGCTCGACTGACCAAGCCAAACCTTTTCCCGTTGTCATATAGTAGAACTAGAGGTGACTTGGTTACAGTTTTCCAACTGCTTAGTGATAAATTTGCACCTGATATGCCCTCATTTTTTCTTGTCTTCCAAAAGGGAGAATTTACGACAACACTCCAAAAAGTTCACAAGCCCGGAACAAATTACTTATCAGCTGACTATCGACTTTCCCATCGAATCATCAACGCGTGGACTTCATTAGCTCAGCACGTGGTTGAGGCTCCATCCGTCGATTCTTTCAAAAGAAAGTTGGATCAACTGAAAGGCCACCATTGCCAGGACTAACACAGGCCATCAAGCCCCCTGTTCTTTCCAAAGTGAAACTGAATGGGCGACTACGACATTTAAATCATTACCCCTCATCGTAGAACTTGAGGTGATCGTATATTGGAACTCCGTATCTTAAATAATGATTTAAATGTTGAAATGTCCGTTTTTTCTCTTCTTCGGAACCACTTATCTCCGAGGCCACTGAAGGAAAGCTCATAGACTGGAATAAAATAAGCTCAGATTAAGATCCAGTTTCTCGCATCGATGGGTCAGTGTCTAGAACAACCTACGCAAATAAGTAGTATCAGCCTCACTAATAAATAATTTTGTGGATAATCTGAAGCACTACAGGAAAACAAGTGCCAAGGATTAGCACAGTTCATCCGACCTTCAATCTTTGTAATTGAAGACAACAGGTATTGACCATTGTACACACTACGCACTTGTTTGAGACCTAGGCGTATGTATTGTTTGTTTACAACTATATGTAATAATAAGATGTTTGTATACATTATATTGCTCTAATACATTGCGTTAATCAAGAAGGAGGACATTATTTCACTTACTGAAGTCTCAAAAACTTTTCTTAAAGTCGAACTGTCACGTATAGTTCGAAAATTCATCGATGGTTCGACTGTAAATTTCGGTTTTCTCGAAAATGCCAATTATTCTGAAAATTCTCTTGAGTTCGCTCAAAATTTCTATAGGACTGAGACCTTTCAGAATGTCGAGTCAAAAAATCCACAGGATTGGCAGTTCAAGTTAGCTTAAACTGCCAATTAGCTTAAAGCTACCAATTGAGACAATTGGTAGTCCCAGTGTAATTATAATAAAGCTGTTCGTTTTGTTAGCGGTGAGGCTTCAATTTCTGGAAAATAGGTGTCTGACATTTTTTCGAACTAAATTTTTACTGTGGATATGATTTTTTTTACGAAAACTTATGTTAATATATTGTAAAGTGTCGTAATTCAGTATTCATTGCAAATTCTATGTTCACTGTTCGTTGCTAAAATATAAAGCTTTCGGTTTACTTGGTTTTGTCAATTATTTTGTTTCTGGGCTTTGGTTCGGTTCGAAAATAAGTTATAGACTTATCTGTACAGTTAGCAGTACGACATCCCCTTGAGACCTTGTGTTTGCTGCTTTTAGTCTTGCCGTTCTTCAGCCGACCTGTATGGCATGGTAGGACCTTGAGGAATGATTGTTCCAGTCTGTGGAGCTCGATTGGCTGATCACGATAGGCTAGCTTGACCACCACATCAAGGTAGCAGTAACTGTCGGGTTGTTTATATACATGAATGTTATTTGTGCTCAGTCTGTTGTGGACTACATTGATCGCTTTTCCCTTCTAAATATGACAGGTCTCTGGAGGTTCTCATAACATCCATACTTCAAGGAGCATGTAATTGTTGTTTTGTGGTCTCAATTTCAAAAATTAACAAACTATCTAAACATACAACCCTAATGCTATATTTAACATCCATATACTTATAATAACTTATGATGTTGTTAGATTTTGTCCATTATTTATTCACTGGTTTTATTTTTATTTATTAATGAAACTATCCGTATTAAACATGCCCTTAACGAGTATAACTAGACCAACCATTGATTTATGTCCCTTTGACTCCACGAGTTTAAGAAATCGAGTAGTATCATTAGCGTTTAGCATATTAGTTGGCTCAGTTCAATGGGTAGTCCTGTATATCATAACTTTATTTTGTCTGCGTAGTTCAGTTCGGTTTTTATTTCATTCTGTGGTGTTATTTGATTACTTATTAGAAGTGGTAGAATTCGATTAAAACGAATATGACTCCAAACCACCAAATAAACACACGTGATTGATGAAATGCGGCTGGCAACGTAATCTTGAATGTGCGTTTCGTTCTATTTGGGACTTAGTCGGAGATATCTGCACCACAGAGTTGGTGTTCACTCCGGGATTTCAGACTTTATTTTCCTTCCATACTAATCTCATCATACCTGCTTCGGTTTGGGCACCCGGGCAGTATCACAGCCCTCGCACATATCGAATGAGATTTGTGTGGCGCATATGTATTTGGTGCCTCCTTGTACCAATATCTATGTGTTAAAATAAATAAACAAATATAATCGCATCATATGATATTCAGTAGCTTAATTTGAAAGTTATTTTCCAGACTTTTCTCTGTTGTACATAACGCAGTTTAAATATGACTTTCCACTTTGTAATTATCAGGTACCATGAATGCAATTAACCCTAACAACTCTAATAACCTAACCTCTGGCTTTGGTCATTCAAATGATATGAATTTTGTGAAAAGTAATGAGAACCGTCTAGGTGATTCCAATAGTTTATCGTCTGTTGAATTAGCTCAATTACCAATGAACCCAATGTATACAAACGGCTCAACTGCAGAAACCGATGTTTTGAAAGCGAATTATGGGATTCCTGCTGATGAGTGTTGGTTGTTCAAACCACCGAAGCAACACCAAACTCAAGGTTCTGTTGAACCCATAAGAACATGGTTACGTGCTATATTTGATTCGCCAGATTCCTGCTTTTTCCATTCGCGTCGAAATCTCCTCTCCCGCCTCGAAGCGATCATTTTGGCTGGGGGACAAACTGAAGCATATCAGTTTGGAGGCAGTGTCCCATCTCTGAATCTTATCACTTCAGGATATCCACCGCGTCCGAATACATGTCGTACAGAACATTCTGTTTATGGATCTGTCGTATCCAATCGTCTGGTAACCGCTAGTTCATCAGACAGTATTTCGTTTCCTAGTCAACAGACAGTAACTAATCCTACAATGAACAGTGAGCATGTTAACATGAACACTTTCACACGTTCTCACAAACCAAGAATAAGTTTACCACCTCAGTGCAGTGCAAGTAAATCAGTAAAAAATGGTTCTTATAATTCTAATTCATACTTGTCTAACTCTACTGGAACGAACTTTTCTTTCAAACCGCCTAACAAGACTGGGTCATGTGATGAGCTAGAAACTACGTCTGCAAACACCAATGTACAGGAAATTGCTAGAAGACAAGAAGACACATTAAAAGCAGAGGTTGCAGCTCTAGCAGCGGCAGCAGCTGCTGCCGGCAAACATGGTAGTCAGCATTCTCTTGCTTCTTTGTGTAGGAATAGCCCACATGGGAGCTACACAAACATCGCTAGTGCTCCAGAAAGCCCTCACTCAAGCACAACAAAGCTAAACCAACCTCAGCAAAATCACGACCATTTCTATGTAAAACAGTCTCTGTCGTTTTCTCAAGAGTTTGAAGGGCAAATTACAAACCAGCAACCAACACAAGATACTCATCTTGTTAATCATTCGTCTCATAGTCCTACTAGAAAAGACGTACTGTCCAACATTCCTGCTCACGCTTCTAATGTAGCGAACATAAAACAAAACCCTTACAAAATTTTGCCTCAAAAGCCTTTGCTCACAAATATTGTTCCAGAAATGGGGGATGAATCTAGACAATCTCAGAAAATTTCGGTTTCAACACATCCATCATTATATCCTCTTGCGGTAAATGCCACCGGAAACGTGTACATGTCTTCGGCAGAACCTCGCAGTCATTTTGGTTTTCGGCCACTACAACAAATCTCTACTGGTCCATTCAATAAAACTGTTAATTTAGGATTAAGACGTACATCTGATGATCAACCTTTTTCCTCCGGAAACCCAAACCAATAATTTTTCAGTCCGCTTTAGTCGAGTTCTAGTCTTTCTAGTTTGTTGTTACTTCGACATCAATTCTTTTCAGAATCAAATGGCTAATATAACATTATGTTCATTATTAGTTAATCATTATAATACTTATCCCTTATGTTTCAAATGCTAATTGTCACTGGCTTTTTTGCAAAGACTTCGCATTGTTCAGAAAAGGCTCTCCATTTGGCTTTTAGCTTTTTATTTACATTTTGTCAGCTTGCATTTCTCAGCCCTAGTGATTATGTTTCTGAAAAATTAATAGCATTTAATCATCTGATTATCTATATCCATATGTAATCCGCTCACTTATAACAAGGTGCACTTCAAAAGCATAATGCATTAATTATGACCATTTTTGAATTTATTTCACAAAGTGTAATTTGACAATGTTTTTATTTTGGCATTTTGGTAACCTGGTAAACATTTATTATTTGAACTAATATTTATTTTTTTAAATTCTCTATACAAAAAGCTTTACTTGCATAACTTTAATTTGTACGGTTCAATTTTCCTTCAATTTCAGTTGTAACTTATTTACTTGTAGTTTATCTTGTCATGGGTTTTTACCAATGATGGATCCCGATATACCAGGTAAGCTTTATTCGAAAAATTTCGTAAGTTTACTTATACCGTTGCATTCTCACTGACTTACACCAATGTATTTATAGATTGATGGTTTCCAATACACATTTGTACCAAGTCCTGTGTTGATGATAACCGAATGAGTTTATTGATTTTTGTATTACTAATTTAAAAATAATTTCCATTCATTTGTCACGTTTCGAGCGTAATAAACTTATTTTTTTAAATATGATTGATTAGAAGCTAAACAACATTTGTTTTTTAATTTCACATATCAAGTTCTATTCATACACTGGGTATTTCATCTCTAATTATCTGGGACCAGGATTTCCTCGCTACTAAATGCGATGGTCGGGGTGCTAATCTCTCAAGAATGTTGTTATGTCCTTCACTCGTCTTCTTAATCAATCGCTATCCAAGTCGTTACTTTATTTTAATATTTTCCGTCTTGTTGAATTTTTTTCATGTTGATATAAAGTTTCAAATTTGGTGTAAACAAATTTGTAGCACTTCTAGCGATGTTAACGGGTTTAATTTTAGATGACTTGACTATAGATATTTGTATGTTCAACTTCGTACTCTCACTACAGAAATATAGGCATGTAAATCTTAGTACTTCTAAAGGTTGTAGTATATAGCAACATAACAGTATAGCTGTACTTTGACTAAATTTGTTACTTGAACACTTCATATTCTCCAGTTTAATGTGTAAAAGTTTTACCTACCCGATTGTTGATATTCTTGCTTGAACGTATATCTAAGAGACGGGTCTTGAATAAAACAAAACGCACTTTGGATTCTACTGCTAAACACATCCCATCTATTCTATAGGAACTTCTTATTCCTGTTTTATTCATATAGTTTGTTCCGTAGTGCTACTTATGCTTTTCTTTTCAGAATTCAAAGATAAGCAAACTTCTGTTGAGGATACATATCGACAAATGCGAAAACTATGTGAGAATTACAAATTGTTCGCGAAACCGGATGACTTGGATGAACTATATTCGACTAGCCTAAATTTAAGTTATATCCAAGATGATTATGAAACTATAAAACATGAATTATCAGTCATTAAAGCTAATCGTCAAATTGCTCGAGACGCACTTTTAGCTGCCGGATTTCAATGTCCCGATGATCCACCAACATAGTTTGTTAGTTTTTGAGTCTCGATTTCTTTTTTAACTTTAGAATATTTTTGTGTTTTAATTTCTATTGCTTTATATGTTATGTAGCTAGAAGATTGATTTTTGTTAGGAACTATAAAGATTAATTCGTTTTGACTCAGTATATATATCGGATTTTTCATAAAACTATTATCCAAGTTTTTTGTATGGTGACTGATATTACCCACTGAGTTATCTAAATTGGATTAGGTTCACAACTGTGACTTACTGGTTGATAAAGTATTTGTGTACATGTCCCCTTATTCTGTTGACCATAATGTTCCAAATATTCTTAAATCATAAACCAGCATCTATAACTATTAGCCAAGGAAAGTTTCCTATTCACTATCCACTTGAAAAATAATAAACTAATTAATTTGCTAAACGGTGTGGAAGTCCAAGTCTACCGCTTGACTAAAGTTACTTTCACCTGGGATTAACGATTAATAAATATTTCTCGTCGGAATTATTTATTAAATGAGAATTCATTTTCCAAGCTTTACAATCTCAAATATATATACGTATTTTTCAAGGTAATAGTAATCACAATAATACTGATAATGAAATTCTGTTAAACATAGTAACAGTCAGACAGAATAAACTGAGGTATTAAAACAATTTTTTAATATGGGAAAGTAGTAATAAATTCACTAGGTATTGTTTACCTGAATCTTCCCATTGATGATTAAAATTATAGTTGGGAGAGGATTGCTGAGCATGATAAGATAAAATGCTAAAATTGAGATGAAATGTAATCAGGTGAATCATAGAAACAGAAATAAACCAGTTGGGGGGTAGAAGGTCTATGAAGATGGAACGGGGAACAGAAGGCTATAAAGGAAGAAAAGTATGAAGAAGGATGAAAATCATGAGACATTAAGACCATGTTAGAAGAAGAGGTTGTACAAATTTCTTCCGGACACACAATTATGGCTTCCCTAGATGTATAGCTGTTGCTTAGGCAATGTTCAGAAAATGCTATGTAACTGCCTTGGGAACCTTCTACTTACCTTGTAAATGACTTTGGACGCAGAGTTCACTTTGATTGAGTGACCTGTGTTTACAAGGTTTTTCGGTTTTTGAGCCGTTTCCTCCTCTTTCTAGCCAAGACGAGTAATGTTCTTGTATTCCTTTAAACAAAGTGAGAAAACGCATTTGTATACACTCTTCATGGTACATAAAAGAAGCGAATGTAAATGACAAGATTTTCCTCTCTCCTTATGTCGAGTCACAATTCCCTAATTCTCATAAATAACGGATTTTATTAACTGTGAAAATATTTGGTATTTCTTTCAAGGATTCATATGAACAGCTTAGAACTTTATCAAATAGGATTCGAAACTGTAATGTTTACTAGATTTCCTCCCGTTTAATTTCTTCCATATATGGTAAATAAATGTATATAACATTCACTTTGAAGAAAACAAACTGTATTTTAGTTGTGTTTTAAAATTCTGGTGTTAATCTAAACGAATAGCTGTTTTTTTTTCATATTTTCGTGTTTATACACATCAATGATCCTAAACATAATCTGTGCGACATTTTAATGTTTTTTTCACTCACTATAAGATATAAGTCATCTTTCTAAACTATATGTCTATCACAGAATTTCAATTATTTTTTCTTTTTCATTTCAGCTCTTAATCATCTATCTACACCGTGAGTACCAGAACTCAAACTTTGGCATCACCATAAAGTGTGTAATTCTTTTTTTACTGAAAGTTGATTTCTAGTTTACTCTATTATATATTTACATTACTTCAACCTGATCATAGTTTTATTTGTTAACTAATTCATTGTTAGGAAAAATCGTAATTTACAGTTTATTTGGTTTTTTGAATTATTTATTTATCCCTCTTTTTTGTAGCGTTTGATCTGTTTCAATTTAATATTTCTAACACTCTAAATAGTATGAATATGTTCACTTGAAGTTGCCTAAAATAGCTTTTCTCGCATTCTCATAGAAACACGTGTATTTATTGGCTTTTGTTTGTGAATTACTATTATTATTACTACCTCTTCATATATGTTTCCATGGTCATAAATTACTTCAATGAGAAATTGTTTTTTTTCTGTGGTTTTTGTGTTTACTGCTGTTTGATAATTTTTGGTGGATCATATTTTTCATCTGTTATGGGATAGCAGAATAATGGCCAGCAAGACTACTAGAATATGCAAATAACTAAGTCGTAAACTATAGGTAATTCAGTAAGGTTATGAGTTAAGACACAAATTAAACTCATTTTTGGGGATATCCTTATTTTGGAATATAGCAAATATAGTTGATAAAGTTTACCTGTAATTAACTAGTAAGAGAATAAATGTAAAGTTGAAACTCCTATCTTGTTTCAAGATTTATCATATATATTAGCTTTTAACTGAGCATGAACTACTGCACACATTCCTATAATAATGAGATGCAGTTTAGGTAACGGGTCCAATCATTGTAGATTCTTTTTGACCTAGATGAAATGTAGTCTTTTAAAAGGAAATTATGACATCAGCTCATGTCTTATGATTTTTTTCTCAAGAAATAAAAAATGTCAGTGGTTTTCTGTTAAAGGTAATTAATATTTTTTTCAACAATGTCGGAGAATGTTATATTTTGTATGACTTTCAGCCTCATGTCTGATAAAAAGCTTAGTAGAATGTAAAATAAATACGAAAAATCTATATGTTGATAACTGATGATTTTAATTCCAATATGTACATGATTTATTTAGACTCTTAGCTAGCTGGTTTAAAACCATCCAAGTGTAGCTCAGAAGAAACGGATATTGCTAAAATCCAAAGTTAGTTACAGTTTCTAATAAACCGAGTTTGTAGTTAAAATCGTACGTGAGATTACAACAATGTTTCAACGTAATGTTTAGTCGATCAACATAGAGTTCTAAAAGTATGCATAGAATACTTCAATTTTACTATATATATTCAAGCGTCATACTTCTGCTGCAAATACCGTGGCGTGTTGTATACGTGAAGTGTTAACGTTATGATCACAGCACTCTTCTTTTAACCAATGAGATGTATGTTCGAATCCCGTTTCACTTTCATCGGCTTAGATTATTAGGTAATATCACTAACGCGTATGTTAACAGTTTGGTTCAAAGTCAGGTAAATTACAGAAGCATTATTAAAAGTTGTTTTCACCTGGTATAGTGCGAAAGATAGAAAGCTGACATGGCTCAGAATCGATCATAATGGCTTAGGTGTGTATACTCTTTGTCTTCTCTTAAATCATGAGATTAGAATCGCTTTATACCTTTATTCATGCGAAATAGTTCCTTCTTCCTGTATTATATCCTTATGCACAATCTTTCTTTTATATATTGCTACCATTGAAGTAACTACTATGAATTTGGTGTTCATCTTGTGCTAATGAGGTATGGCAACTTTGACCGATACATATATGTGCTTGGTCCTACGTTGCAGCTGTTTGATATGTCTCACGCTTCGTTTCTCTTTAAAGACATACACATAATCTCTGATAGTCTAACTCGATGATTTTTATGGTGTATTCTGAGTACAGTGTTTTTTAACCCCTATCAAAGCTCTAGTAATTTTTAACATTAGTCGTAGAATGGTACTCTTGATTCACCATCAGAAACTTAATCATGAGTCCCTCTAGTCACGAATTAAGAATCAGGTTAAAAAATAAACTTCATCTAGGACTTTTTATCCATAAGGATGTTTTGGAATCAGATGCCTCATCAACTACTCAACGGTATGTTATGTCGTCTATATGATTGTTGTGATACTCGTTTCCAAGTTAAAATGTATATCCCTAAAAGCATCTATACTGTCAATAAAGTGCATAGAGCTTAAAATCCTATTTTATTTATTCTCTGCGAAATATATATTTTGAAATATTCATATCACCCGTTGATTCTATTGGGAATCATTATTCAAAATAGAATTCTCACTATTAATTCTATATAATCATTAATTTGATTAAAATTTTTCACTAAAATCATAACAGTAGAAATTTCGTCTGATATTCGAATTAGTTTGATGACAGAACGTTTAATAACATTCAAATGTCATTTGATGCTTGTTAAGTGAATCATACCGTTTTGGATGTTTTGGCTAATTCTGTTGGTTTTGGTTTATTATCTAGTTTCATGACTTCAAGTGAGTTAATAAATTGATTGACTTTCATGAGGATCTGTTATTCGGCCAAGTCATTATTCTCTTTGAATGTACTGATATTTTGTCTGTCATTTTAACATTCCAAAATGAAATTATAGCAGTGGTACCAGAAGCAGAAACTGAATATATACACGAAACATAATTAAACGATGATCACCAGACATCAGTAAGCTGACTGAAGTGCATTTATTATCAAGATGAAGCGGTGAGTGACGTGATATCTTTAATTATCTTAGTGAAATAAATCTAAATGACCCTACCAAGAGGTCAAAATCCTAAGAGAAACTTCTGATACAAAGTCCTGCAGTAAATACATCTTATTTTCGCTTTTGACTAAATAAATCTTAAGATGGAGTAAAATCTGTCTAAACTTTCATAAAATTAGTTGGTATCTGTATCCTAATAAACATGTATTGTCACTACAACTATCCTTACTTGTACTTCTGTGGAGCGCAAACATGTTACATTGATTATTTCAGAAGTTAAATGAAAATTAATTGTTTAACAAATAATCAGGCTTTTCGATCATGTTATTTCCATAATCATTAACTGAATTACAATATTCATGTTTACCCTATTTTTGGATCTAGGTCAACTTTAATCTAATCAAATTTTTGATTAACAGTTATTAAACTCTATTCCATTATTGAAATACAGTATATTCTGAAAATCAAGTTATTTCCGCTACAATGATTAAGGTGGAATTAGTAACATATTCCTAACATTCTATTATTGATGCGTACATTATTAAATGTAATTTCTTGTTGAAGAATTTTTATAGACTTAATAAAACTTTAATTGATGTCCAATACTTATTTAAAAGTATGACATAATACAATGTAAGCTAAATAAATACAAGAAGCGTAATGAAAAACTATTTATACATCAAATCATGTCTAAATCATATTAATAAAATGACGACGTTACTTGCTATCAACCATCAGTCAATGGATTACTCCAAATAGAAAACTTTAGACCACTTGTCAACATTATAAGAAGCTCTTAATATCAATTTGAACAAACTGTTCATGCTCCCAGTTAGTTTAAATGACTAGTTTCATTCTGATAATTTATTAGATACCAATGAAGATTGGTTTAGACTGAGCAATCGCTTGTAAATTCATTTAGAATGTAGGGGATATATTTACATAATGAAAACAAAATGAACTAACAGGAAAATAGTCTTTAACTTTATTAAGATTTGAGGCCACCTCAATTGGAGGATTTGATAGACGATAGAACTGTTAGTTTACAAAACAGAAATAAAATATTGTATCTGTGGGAAAATTCATCTAGATTTGAGCGAAAAGTTCTACAGCAGTTAGGCACTGTGTAGCGGTAAATAAATCCCCAAAATAAATAGCACCAAGTTTTCGACATTGGATGCTGACCATATGTTTTAGTGGACTCATTTAGCTGAAGGCGCTCGGTCAGGCATCCGCACCAGATCACGTGTGGTAACGCCGTGCTCAACATCAACCGCAATCGCTAGCCAGATTAGATCAGAGAATTCCGATATATTGGTCAACGCCAAATATACTCTCCCGATCTCCTCGACTCTGTCTTTTGATTTCTCTGGGCGGGAACGAAATATATTAGAAGGTGTTACTGGTAGAAGCGTTGTCAAACAGTGAATACCTGTGACATCATCATTGGTGAAACCGACGTGATCTGGTACACCTAATTGCAACTGTGAGTCTGTTCCTTTTTGGGATTTTTATATATCATTGCCTTATTTTTTTATTTTTTTTTTTAACATTGTGATTTTTTTCGTGTTTTTTCCTGGATATATATATTTTCCCCTCGTTATTATCATAATTCATACTTCATCATGACTGAACAGACACCTAAAGTACTCAAGCTTAAGACTTTGTCCCCGCCTTCGTTTCAACTGATGCCTTTCTGGCCCGACAACATCGAAGCCTGGTTCTGCTACGCAGAAGCCGACTTCCACGAGCACGGCGTGATCGACACACGTGCACAATTCCTCGCAGTAGTCAAGGCACTACCGCGCGAATTCAACAGGTACGTAACACCTAGTATGTTTACTAGTGATGTTTCCGATCCTTACGAAATCTTAAAACGCTCGATTCTTAAACGAGGAGACCTAACCGATCGACAAAGGTTAGATCAACTCTTCAACAATATCGACCTGCAACACGGTTCTGCGACAGACATGTTGGAACGGATGAGAGAGGTAATAGGCCCAAGAACTTTCGACGAAGATCTATTCAAACAACTCTACTTGTCAAAACTTCCCCAACAGGTGCAAGCAGTTCTGGTCTCGTTCCAGAACAACGCCTTAGACGAGCTAGCTGTATCTGCCGACCGCATTTTAGAAATTACGAAACCTTCTACTACCGAGGTATTTTCAGTCAAAGAAAAACCTCAAACGACTCAGAATGATATAACCGACTTATGTCACACACTCACGCGTTATCTTAGTCTTCGTACCGACCGTAAGAGATCGCGCACACCACGTAGAAGCATTTCTCGTAAGCGATCTGTCTCTAGACCACGAGAGACAGATAACCCCGACTGGTGCTGGTATCATAACCAGTATGGAAAGTTTTCCAGAAATTGCAGAAAACCCTGCAATTTTCCCAACATGAAACCGACTGATTCGAAAAGCAATTCGGGAAACTTCCAAGCCGGCACGCGTTAACGGCAACCGTAGCCGGCGAACAAAGCCGTCTGTTATTCGTCACAGATGTGACAACGAGAGTTCGTTACCTCGTCGACACTGGCGCAGAAGTTAGCGTTCTCCCAGCAAATCCTAACGACCGACTACACGAATCGACCCTAAACTTACAGGCGGCAAACGGAAAACCGATCGCTACGTATGGCAAAAGGTACGTTTACCTTAACGTGGGTTTACGCAAACCCATTCACTGGATTTTCGTTGTTGCAGATGTTTCTATGCCAATCATTGGTATGGATCTTCTACAACACCATAATCTGATCATCGACACGCGCAAACGGAGGCTAGTAGACGGGAACACTAATTTGTCCGTTTGCGTAACTTCTTTTACTGGTTGTAGAGTATCCCCAGTCACAGTTAAACATATGATAGACCCACTCTATCAACCACTACTCGATAAGTACCCTGGGATACAACAAACTCAATTGAAACTACCGTGTGTAACCAGCAATGTTACACATCACATCACGACTACAGGACCACCTGTATTCTCTAAAGCACGACGACTAGCTCCTGAAAAGCTAAGGTTAGCGAAAAACGAATTCGATCACATGATGGACTTAGGAATCATACGACCGTCAAGTAGCCCATATGCATCTCCGTTGCACATGGTCCCTAAAAAGGACAGCAACGATTGGCGTCCAACATGTGACTATCGGCGATTGAACGCGAAAACCATTCCCGATCGTTACCCGTTGCCTCACATTCACGATTTGACAGCTACTTTGAAAGGTACAACTGTCTTTTCGAAAATCGACTTGGTTAAAGCGTATAACCAAATCCCTATGGCTACTGACGACATACCGAAAACAGCTATCATAACTCCTTTCGGACTCTATGAATTTTTGCGAATGCCTTTCGGTCTAAGGAATGCTGCTCAAACATTCCAAAGATTCATAGACGACGTTTTTCGAGGTCTCAACTTCGTACACGCGTATGTTGATGACTGTCTAATCGCAAGTCCGGACAGAGAAACACATCTCA